GTAACATGATATAGTTAAGTAACAACATGACAAGTGAGCTATTTTGCTCAATATTCTCACGACGCAAAAAAAACATTCAAAATCTACTGAGTGCATGCATTACTTGAATTCTAGTGCACGTGCGCATTTACAGTGCCTTCTTTCACTGCATGATTCAGTCTATAGAGCTCCGGAGGTTGACGTCACGCACTCTAAACTCCACCATTACATTCAGAATGATCACAAATTCAAGACATGGGAGCAGAAAATGTGTATATTTCTTATAGTTCTTATAGTTAATCACACGAAGAGTGCCTTTTTTTTCTTCCAAAAATTACCATGTACAAATATTTTTTTTATTTTTTTTAAAACGGTTCAATAAACTAGAGGTTTTATTAAGAGACTTACATTTTAGACACCATATTGCCTGGTTTTGCACTATTTCGCCAACAAAATAATTCCAAACAAAGCCACAGCGCTGTTTTGCTCTTTGAGTAACATAACAACATTTTGTTCTTGAATGAATCAACCATTTAAATGATTCGGTTCAGGACTCACTTCTCACTTATTAACAGTGACTTACTGCCACCTTCTGGCGGTTTTAATTTCACATTTAAAGTCATTTTTTTATTTCTTTCTTTTTGATTTTTTTCATGTTTTAAATCATTTCAAATATCAGTATTCAACGTTTTATGTTTAATATATCAAAACATTATTTATGCAGCTTATGTCTGGATTGCAAAGATGAATTTTGTTGATACTGATTTCATTTGCTTGGTAACAGCCCAAATGTCTTCTTATTCTAATTCACTGATTAAATGTAAGAATTTGACTCAAAAGATAAGAAAACATGGCTTTATAAAGGTAAAAATGCCCATAAAAGGATATCTGCCCATAAGGATATGAAGAATATCAAAAACTTTAGGAGTCAGCGGTCCACGAAAGTCCTTAAGATACCAGCATGATAACACACTTGAATCAGTTGAATGAATGACTCAGTGACTCACTCATTAAGTGACTTACCGCCACTTACTGGTAGTTTAGTTGAGAAG